GAGTTATATTTTGTGATGAATATGCATTTAAAATGGTTAGGGAGTATTTCAGCATAGATTTCCCTAATAAACTTTCATCAGCAGACCTGTTTTTATAATTAGGAGAGCGTTTTAGCATGTAGCGTACAAAACACCTACTTTATGCCCTCGCGTCCTTCCCCTTGCCTCCCCTGTCGCTCGCTCAGCCTCCTTCTTCTTCTACAGCCCCCAGCTATCTTTCCTGCCGCCTTTCATCAGTCTCCCATTCCCTCTCCCCCGCAGCAAGCTATATTATGAAGTTTTCCTCAGACGGCACTGCACGCCTAACACGGTGCGTGCGCATGCGCAATATCTCCTGAGAGAAATAGTATTTTGCAAAAATTATGCATTCAAAATGAAGAGGAGTTATCCTAGCATAGCTATATATATGATAACATTCTATTAGTAGACATCATTTAAAAAATAAGAGGAAGACCTTGCATGTGAGGTCCCCGCTGCTAATACCAGCCAGTACACAATGTGGCTACGTTAGTGTGTTAGCGCATGCGCAATATATCACCAGAGGAGTTATATTTTGTGATGAATATGCATTTAAAATGGTTAGGGGGTATTTCAGCATAGATTTCCCTAATAAACTTTTATCAGTAGACCTGTGTTTATAATTAGGAGAGCGCTCTAGCATGTAGCGTACAAAACACCTACTTTATGCCTTCGCGTCCTTCCGCTTGCCTCCCCTGTTCCTTGCTCAGTCTCCTTCTTCTTCTACCGCCCCCAGCTATCTTCCCTGCAGCCTTTCCTCAGTTTCCCATCCCCTCTCTCCCTCAGCAAACTATATTATGAAGTTTGCCTCAGACGTCACTGCACGCCTAACACGGTGCGCGCCCATGCGCAATATCTCAAGAGAAATCGTGTTTTGCAAAGATTATGCATTTAAAATAAAGAGGAGTTATCCTAGCATAGATTTAGATGATAACATTCTATCTGTAGACATCATTTATGAAATAGGAGGATGACCTTGCATGTAAGGTCCCGGCTGCGTATACCAGCCGGTACACAATCTGGCTAGGTTAGTGTGTTAGCGCATGCGCAATATCTTACCAGAGGAGTTATATTTTGTGATGAATATGCATTTAAAATGGTTAGGGGGTATCTCAGCATAGAATTCTTTAATAAACTTTTATAAGTTGCCATGTGTTTATCATTAGGAGAGCGCCCTAGCATGTAGAGTACAAAACACCTACTTTATGCCCTCGCGTCCTTTCCCTTGTCTCCCCTGTCCCTCGCCCAGCCTCCTTTTTCTTCTACCGCCCCCATGCAGCTATCTTTTCTGCCGCCTTTCATCAGTCTCCCATCCCCTCTCCCCCGCAGCAAGCTATATTATGAAGTTTTTCTTAGACGGCACTGCACGCCTACCACGGTGCGCGCGCATGCGCAATATCTCCTGAGAGAAATAGTATTTTACAAAGATTATGCATTCAATATGAAGAGGAGTTATCCTAGCATAGCTATATATATGATAACATTTCATTAGTAGACATCATTTAAGAAATAAGAGGAAGACCTTGCATGTGAGGTCCCCGCTGCTTATAC